GGCTTCCTGACCCTTAGACACTGTGTGTGTTAATAAATGTCTGTTGCTTGAAACTGCTAATTGGGGGAATAACTTGTTATGCAGCAACAGATAACTAATATAGATGGTCTCTTAAAGTCGATGAAATAGAATAAAGATTTGAGAGAGGGATTTACTTAGAGAGACTGTATGTCCACTCCCCATCATCACCAAAGAGAACTCAGAAGGATGGAGAGGTGCTTGTCCTTAACTGCACGTTTATGAAAGGGGTTTTAACAATACTAGTCAGAGAGCATAGTATGTGACCCCCGTAGCTGGGCACACAAAGCGAACCGGAGGGTGATTTTCACTTGAAAGAGCCATTAAGCATGAACCCACGTTTGGCTGCTCTGGCAGGAAAAAGGAGAAGTGGCTTCCTTGGCTTGGCCTCCAGACCCCAAGTCTGTCAAGCCAAAAGATATGCTGAGACATTTCAAGGTGTAGATGAATTGCAGAAGTGGGCCACCTAAAAAAAAAAAAAAAAAGTGGCCTGCAGCCAATTAAACTTGGCAAGAGGACCACCTAGAAGAGTGATAGAGGACAACAGAGTGAGTCTATCTAAAGTACATCAGCAGAAAACCAAGGCTGAGAGGGAAGCTGCAGAAGGAAAAACAGAGCATCACTGCCTGTGTCAGAAAAGACGCAGGGAAGCTTCCAAAGCACCCAGGAGAGAAAGATCCAGCATGATACGTCTGCCAGACTCAGAAAGCATGAAGCCATGCTATGGCAATAAAAAATAAAATTTTTTTTAAAAAAATCTCCTGTCCCCTTTCTCTCCCTCCCTCCCTCCTCCTGCTCCTACTGCAGGAAGATCTTACAAAAGCAGCTAGTGAGAGAAAGACAGAGAGAGAGAGAGACAGAGACAGAGACAGAGAGAAAGAAAGAGACAGAGACAGAGAGAGTCAGAGAGAGATGGATGCTGCCAGGCAGCCAGTCCCAGCTCGGGGAGGGAAGAAGATTTTAATAACTGACCTAAGATGCTGTTTCCAACCAAAAGTAAATTAAAGATTTTACTACTGAGTGACAAGAAAATCTAGTCTTGTCAAGTTTTCATCCAGGGGCTAGGGAAATACAACTACCCTGAAGAAAATTTAGAGACATGGTGAGAGACAAAAATAAATTTGCATTTGGATTGCACCCCCCATGTCATGCTGGTCAAACATATCAGTTCCACAGGTTTGGGAAATGTTGCATACTGCTGCTCCCCTTTACAGACACATAAAGAAACTGAAAAAGCCATCAGACAAGTTGCATGCTTGGCTTTCTTTCGTCCTGTGTATCCCACACTTATTTGAGCACAGATCCCTTCCTGTTCACTTACAATCTATGTTCTGGAGTTGGTTGGTTCTTGTGCGATCACTTTGCCCCGTTCAGCCTAGGCTTCCCCACCTCTGAAACAGAGACAGTAATAGTGCCTACTTCATATGTCCTTTGAGAGGATGAAGTAGGTCAATGTATATATAGTACTCAGCACATAATAAATAGTCTATAAATGCTGGGGAGGAAGAAAAATCTACCAAAAATTGATACTTAAGTTTTTCATTTTTTAACTTGACCACTTTTTTAAGGAAAATATTAAAGCTGCATTAAATGAACAAATGTGGTTTCCAAGTCAATAAAAACTGTCTATGTCACCCTCATAACTGCAATTTAGAGCTGTGTTAGCAGCTCAGGGTCTTGTACCCTCTTAATCTTCTCTTGTTTCTCATAGTTGCCCTCTTTGAGGCTCCACTTATGTTCCCATGGATGAAAATTATCACTTCTTTGTGTCATCAGAATATTCCTTCCTTTAGAGAGCAGGTGGACTTTGAACTACTGACAAACTGTCTTATTTATCTCTGAATCCATAGTACCTACCTAAGTCCTATTACATATCAGATGCCCAGGGAATAATTAAAGAAAATAAGGAAGGAGAGAGGAAAAGGTGGCAGAAGAGAAAGAGGGTTAAAATATTTTGCCTCGATATGTGAAAAACAAATTGCACAAAGTTCTCTAGTATATTTTGACAGTTTAAAGAGTTGAATTAATTTACATAAATATATCTCTTACTTCATATTTCTCTTTTGAATATGTTGGAAATTTTATACTCTAATTCTGTTATGTTAGTAATTACCCTAAAATATAAAATGGGTATTTATCTTAATATCTGATGATATAACACTTTTTCCCTCCTCATTTTAACTCAAGCTACACCTTCTCATCTTGAAAGCTTCTTTTTTCCAGTATTTTAATTCACCTTTATCTTTTTACTCCACAAATTGGACATCATTATTGATGGTTAACATGCTCACTGGTTATTTAGAGTTTCGTACATGTTTACCATTTTCTTTGCTCACCTTTTCTTCTCAGCTCTTCCTCCTAAGATGATTTTGCAGCTTCTCAAAGTAAATCTTCTAGCATTTCCTCTAATGAACACCTATTCTACAATTGTTCTTGAGAGAGTTTTACATGGCAGAGAATTCGAGATGAACAATAATTTTATCTCAGCTATTTAAAAGTTTTATTACAATGTCTTCTGGCTCCTACTGTTGCTATGAAGAAATTAACTAAGTCATCATCATGCAGCTTCTAAGATCTTTACTTGTCTTTGAGGCTTGGCATTTGCACTAGGATAGATCTCAGTGTGGGTTTACTTTTAAAGATTCTTCTAGGGATTCAGTGAGCCTCTAGAATTTGAGTTTCACACCCTTCATCATTTTTGTATAATCTTCACTATTATTTCTTTAAAATATTGCCTCATCTTCATTTTCTGTAGTCTCTGATACTGCAGTTAGATATATATTAAGCCCTCTTACTCGGTCTTACACGTATCGTGTACCTCTCTCTCATACTTTCCAATTTTACACCTCTCTTCTTCAGGGCATGTTACAGGTCACTATTTCCTTCCTTATCATGTCAAATCTGCTGTGTAAACAGTCCTTCAGGCTTCTCACAAATAATTATATGTATCATTTCCAGAAGCTCTTCTTGTTCTTTTTTAAAAATCTAATTGGTTCTTTTTGGCAGATTATTGTCTCCTATGGTATTTATGATAATACCCTGCATCTTCTTTAAAAATATTAAATATTCATACTTACATTTGGCATCTGATAAATTCCAATATTCAGCCTTTGCTGGTCTGATTATGTAGTTTGACATTTTTACTGGCTCTTACTCATGGTTCTGCATGTATTTGATGATTTTTATTGTCAGCTCATATGCATAGGAATTTTCCCTGAGGGACTGCATTGCGGCCTGAGTTTATAATGAATGTCTTCAGAGAGATTTGCCTTTGATTTTGCTTGGGGCATTAAAAACACTCGAAGTCTGAGAGTACTTTAGTTTTTAGCCAAAGGTTTTTCAATCCATAAATAGTATGGATTTGGGAAAATTTTTAAAAAACATGTTAGGGCAGGCCTCATGGAGACGTCTCAAGAGACATATTTTCCCCTGCTTTTCCCAGAGCCATGGTAGAGATAGACAAGAATCCCTACATCACCCTCCAGAAGGCCGGGGTTTTTCTGGTCCACCCACTGGTCCACCACTGAGGATGTGGAGGATCTAGCTTTATGGCCCAATCTTCCACCTTGCACAAGTCCCAAGACTAGTCTCCCATAACCCTTTCTCAGCTCATTAAAGTGACTCTGACTGTCTCTTGCCCTCTGATGCATGCCTTCTTGTCATTTCTCCCATAATTTCCCTTATTTTCTTGATGACTCATCTAAATAACAATTTTTAAAATTTTTTTCCAGGACTTAGAGATGTTCTTTACAAGAAGAGTTACTCAAGACATCTGGTACCATATCATCAGAAATAGAAGTCCCTGAATCTATAAATAATGATATATCTGGCACTTTTGCACAATATCAGACAGTGCTGAAGAAACTGTTCTCACTGAACTAAAATACCATCAACCAGACACTCTCCTTTTCTATTTTTGAATGGGGATGGCCTTCCTTCTGAACATGGTAGAACACAGTATGGAGGAGATGACAGAACGATAGATAAACACTTTCCTCATTTTTTTCACTAACAATTATAACTTGTCTCTCTGCCATGAAAAAGAGAAAAAGTATTATGTTTTTTCAAAAACAGAAATGGCATGTTTATCAGAGTCCTTCCACAATATAAAGCTAAAGAATTATTCTCAACAATATTTCATAATTTATTTTTCAATAAATTCTCCTCACAAAAGTTTTCTTCTTGCAGAAGGAGTATTAATAGTAACCAGGATGCAGCCCAGTACTACTATGTACCAAACGATAAGGAAATGGCTGGGCATCATTCTTATCTCCAAACAGACTGTGGCTTCTTTTTCATTTGTCAGGATGCAAATTCAACCATCTCATTACATTGATTCTATACATTAAAAAGTATTTACCAAGGCTTTTTATTTTGGGTTTTGGTTTTTGTTTTTGTTTTAGCTTCAGAGGACTTCCAAGAAGGGAATTACTATATGTGAATAACATTATGATTCAACAACAATAAAAAACTCTTTTGTATGTTACCAGTATTTTTTTTTTTGGAGGATTATCTGGGCCTGCCACTTGCTTTCTCAGCACAATTGAACACATAATTACTATGTAAATTTGGATTTCCACTTGCTTCCAGAGGAACAGAGACCATTTGGTATTAGAGATTTTAAAACATTAATCACTTGGAACATGGTACAGTTGACTTAATCTGTAAAATGAAGATAATTCTTATCTGCCTTGCGTGGTCTAGTATTATAATTAATTACTTAATTTTTGGTAAATAATTTGAACATGAAAAGCATTACGTAAACAAAAGTAAGTACTGAGATTAAAACAGAAATTACGGAGCCATTCTGTAAAGAAGCACAGAGATATCTTTTCTGCTTATTATTCTGTTATTATTATTATTATTATTATTATTATTATTATTATTATTATTATCATGTTTATTATTAGATCATCATCTAATAATTTCTAGGTTAAAAAATGTAAGACAAAAAATAGATCTTTTTTCTTCAAGACCTGATACTTACATGGGTGTTTTCCTCTCTTCACAAAAGTAGCATTGAGCATGTCATTACCATTAAAATCTGTAATTCCCTAAAACAAAACAAAACAAAAAAATGTAATTCCCTAATACAGTGATGTTAACCTGTTTAATAAAACATTGTTATTATGGTTCAGACCACTGAAATTTTGGGGAGGATTGGGAGAGTATTGAGAAGAAATAGTAACTCTCTTCTAAGAATTATTTGCTTAAAATAAAATAACAGAAAAAAGTCAGATATAATTTTAAAATCAATTCCCTAAACCAACAGAGGAAAAAATGCATTCTATTTTGATTAAGGAATTACAGATGCCCTACTATGTACCCATGCGTATCCCTCGTCATATAAAGAATACTCAGGAAATAATTATTGATTGAAAATCCAACACTGCAGGAAGAGAGGGAAGAATAGAACAAGCCTAAAACTGATCTCTGTTATTAAATACTTTAATGACTCCTCATTTTCCATGGCATAAAATGTAAATGTATCAGCATAGTACTAAAAATCTTCATTTTTCTACTGCCTAATTCTCAAAACTCAATCATTCTTTCCTTCAATCAATAGTTTTTAAACAACTATTTATTGAACATCTACTTAGTGCCAGACCCTTTGTCAAGTGCTGGGAGTACAAAAAGAGGGCCAAGGAGAGACAGAGAACTCCTGACAGCACAGGGATTAGAATCTTGCAGGAGATACAAACAGTTGACTAAACAAATGGTTAATTATGTATACTCTGTAGCTGGCTGAGGGACTACAAAGGTTATTACAGGATGCAGCAAAGGCATATAACAGAGACCCAATCTGAGGAGTAGAAAAATTGCCCCTACAGAAGTGCCATTTGAGATAAGCTCTGAAGAACAAGCAATTACCCAGGCAAAGTTGCATGGACATGAAGAGGGACAGATGGGTGACAGTACCTGTGAAGGCTCTAAAGGCAATGAGGCCTGACACATTAGAGGAAAAGAAAGGAAGTGGCTAAAGACAGGGCTACAGGAGTAGGTGAGAGCCCAGATTACAGAAGACTTGTAAACCAACTTGGTGCCTCATCTTAAGAGCACCGAGAAACCACTGAAGTATCTGAAGCCTTGGGTGTGACATATTCACATGTGCCCTTCTTAAAAATCATTCTGGCTGTTGTATGAATAAAAAACTGACAAGGAAGAGAATGAAAGCCAGGTTATTACCATTAGAAGGTTATTACAATGGCTTAGGATAGAAAATATGATAGGAAATAAAGAAAACAAAGGAGGAATGAAAGGAGGGAGTGTGAGAGGAAAGGAGGGAGGAAAGAGAAAAAAAGTAAAAAAAGTTCTTAACTTCAAATGTCAAATAACAATCAAGAAAAAGTATTTTCTATCATATTAGGAAAAGAACTAATTCCAACCATCTATAGAGAACTTCTATAAATCAACAAAAGACTAACAACTAATTTTTTTAAATGAGCAAACAATGAACAGCTTACAGAAAAGGATATACAAACATAAAAATGATGTAAAAACATGCTCATAACTAGAGAATTATAAATCTAAAAATAACATTTTGAGATATTTTTCACCTATAGTGTTAATAACATCAGGGCCCAAGAAACTGCCAGTCTGGGAGTTAAAGAAATTTCGATGACAAAATAGTTAAATAGGGGTTTTACTCAAAATGTTATATACTGTTGATGGAAATTCACATTCCATTTTGGCATAAAAGACATTTAAAAACCCTCTGTAAAGAAATTATGTTTAATTTGGCTTAACCCAGTACTGCAGGCTGAATCTTCAGAGAGCAAACTCTAAGTGGAAATTTGTACGTCTAAGAAGCTGACTGGGGACTGGTCGCCTTCCGAGAACTGGAGCTGGTAACAGGAGGTGCCGTTACAGAGCTGCTCTCACTCTCGCAGCAGGGATGACAAGCTCCCAGAAGAGCCAGTCTAAGGGTGGCACTTAACCCTCAGATGCCAGAAAAGCATAATTACCATGACAGGCAGCAAGGACCGGATGGCCTGACTCACAGGAATCAATGGAGTCAGCAAATAAAACATAGGGTTCCTAAGGGGAAATAAACAGACAGACAATAAGGATAACCTCTAATTTATGTAATCAAAGGAGAACATGACTGGACGAGCAGAAAGCTGAAGTCAGACCTCCAATAGGAAAGTCATGACCCTTTGTCCAATTTCCAGTTCAGAACCAATTTCCAGACCTAGAACTCATTCACTTAAGTAGAGGCTGGGACTACATTAGGAAGGATTGTAAAAGACTACAGAAAATGTATATAGCAGTAATTTCCCAATCTTACCCCCAAAGGACTACAGTAGTTCACTCAGTTAATGATATCCTGGGGAAAGAGAATACCCAGATCTTTTGAGGGCTGTTGTACACAGGGTCTGATTTGATGCTGATATCCGGTGTCATTATGGAAATGAGATAGTAAATGGAGTCCTGGACAAATCTGTCTCATGTTTCATGACTTTCACTCACATGAGATGGACAAAAATATTAATTCACTGCCTTGACCTAGGGCTATAAACCTCCTGCTGCCTGTTATAATAAAGGCACCTGGACCATCTGGACATTCTATAGAGCATCACATAAACTTACTATAATGATGATATCATACAGATCAGACCTGATTAGCAAGAAGCGGCAAGTA